AAAATATGTAATTATGTTTTTATAAATATTTCATTTTTTCAGTTTATTTATTTGCTCGTTTTTTTTTAAGTTTTGGTAATCGCGAAATGGGTCGCGGGCTTGAGTGCTTGAGGGCTTGAGGGCTATCGACAAACTGTCAACATATAAATAATAAATAAAGTTGATAAAATAAAATGAAAAAAATGTCGTTACTCTTAATCTTGTTCAAACAAATCATCAGATTTGTTTGAACTTACAACGAGGTTACACTCGCCGACAGTCATTTTTGTGAAAAAAAAATAGTTGTTTTAATTACGAACCTTGTTTGCAAACATTTTCCCTGTATTTAATCCAAAATGGCCGCCACAGCAGAGTTGGTCTCTATAGAGAAATCGCATAAACATTACCATAGAAAAAAGATTGTGGCACCGCCTGGTTATCAATTGCCTTTTTCCACACATCGAACTATCAAGAATTTGTAGTGCTTTTCAATTCCGCACTTTTGTCACAAATTAACAGTGTACATCCTTGAATGCCACAATTATATTCAACTACACTCGTACTGCACATATTCTATTCTATTCTATTCTATTCTATTCTATTCTATTCTATTCTATTCTATTCTATTCTATTCTATTCTATTCTATTCTATTCTATTCTATTCTATTCTATTCTATTCTATTAGTACTGTGTCACAGTTGAAAGTTCTACTTTTAACCACGGTAATTTGACAGCGCAGTTTTCATGGAAACACACAAACTATGCTTTAAATATATTTTTATTTAAACATGGATCGACACACAGGCATGAATATGAGCCATTTGCCCTTACGTAATAATAACAGTTTACCGTTAACCAAGCAAAGTTTATATTATTTGGTGCAGACCGTGTGAGACAATAATTCAAATTGAAAAGGCTATAGGCGAGTGATTGTGTCTTTACAATGTTTTCACTGTACAACTAGTAATTTGCATAAAATTAGGTAATCAATTTTGCATAACATGTATTTTAATCACTGCTATTGGTACCAATAAATCCAGCGTCGTCGTTTTTTAAAAAATGTTATACAGCAATACATCTATCATTGAATGTATGGATGTAATTTGCATTGCCTCAAGTCATATTACGTAGTGTTATCACAACTATATTAACATTTATAATGAAATGCGATTATATCGATAAAACACTGATTTTTATACTTTAATATCCAGAAACACACATCACATTATCGTTTTGTGCCGTTTTTGTATTTACAACGGCGGCTATGTGGTTAATATGTCATTGCAATTATGCATTTCCATAAATGTTGCTTCAAATGTGACGTCATCCATCGTTTAATATATTTGTTATTTGAGCAAATATATAACTTCAATGTTGATTACATGCAAATCAGACGAAATGAATGAATGTTGAAATTATAATATCTATTTCACCATTTCCCGTTATTGAAACATATGATAGAAAAATAGTAGTTGCCTAAATCACGTCAGTTATGGTAGCGAGTAAAAACATCGCTGCATGTTTGTTCAAACGTTGGCTCGAATCCTATAGGCTAAAGCAGAAGTACATATATGATGTCACAATATCATTACCACAGCAACGACAACAAAACCTTCTTCATCTAACCGGCTGTGAAATTTTAACGATTTCTTTGAGTGCCTGGTGATCTCGACAACATTCATCCATCGCGGTCACTTGAAGTTATAGCCTGTAGTTTACTACTACTACTACTACTACTATTACGACGACGATAGAAAGTATCTGTGCACTAACACGAAATCTTCACCCATGTTTGAACCAAGTCTATTTGCCCTAGGCACGAGTCAGATTGGTATGTGAAATGATGGGTGAGCTCATTACTCAAAAACAATGTTACAGTAACGGCGAAAACGTTATATCAATTACAACAAATCTCCCCACGGCTTCAAACATTAGAAACAGCTCATCAGCCTATATTAATTAAAGAGTACAGACGTAAGATTTATTATAGGCTGGTCATACAAGTGTCAAACATTCACTCAATAACGTTATCAAGTAGGAGTAATGAGGTTTACAGAGTTATATAATAAAATACAACATATGTGTTAAAGGTTTCTTTAAAAGTTATTTTTAGTGTTCTCTGATGGCACATATAGTTTTCTGGAAAATACATAAAAGATAACTAGCCTATAATTCAACACATACAGTTCATTGTGTTCGTTTCACGTCTTATCATGATGCGCAGTGTATTGAATTTTAACGTCGTCCGCGCGTCTGCGTACACTGCGCAATTTGTACGTAATTCGCGAGCACTTATTACTGAATTACACGCTGCTGCAAAATCAATTGGTCATAATCCCCAGTATTGTGGCGCCGATCACGTGACCTCTTAATATCTGTGGTTGTCACGTTTGGTGTTCAACAAATACGAGATGCACCGCCGCATTTACGTCCACGGTTCCAACTATCATTGTTACATAAGTTCGGGAACAGACAACGTGAGGACGGAATAAAATGAAATATCATTTGAGAGCGAAAAATGGCTCTCCCGCTCTTGACTCTTAAACGCTTGTGATTGTTACAAACCCATTGTAATTGAATTGAATTGTGCGTTAAACACAACATTTACATTTACTGAATGGGTAATATAAAACCTGATATTAGGAACTTTTAAAAATTAATTAATTAATTTCGGAAACAAATCACTTGGATCTTTACGACCAAGTGGCGTGTACAATGCCCGTACAAAAGTGTGTACAACTGCAAACCACTAAAACAATCATCCAAATCACAAGTAATTGTTTCTATGGAAACAAGTATAGGTTTTGCTCTTTATGATTTATTTGATGGTACATTTCTCACAGCAAAATAATACAAATTCGCATTGGAAAAAATGATAATTAAATATTACATTTCAATATAATTACTAAAATAATAAAACAACAATTAATATTTATATTATTCTCTCGCAGTTATTCTTTCCATCAGTTAGGACGCTTTTTATGGATTTATGTTCACTGTTCAAATGTCGAATGAATGGTATTACAAATTTCCATGTGACATTTGACTTTTAAGTGAGAAATACATAGAGATAACCATAAAATAAGGTGTTTGTTCGTCAGAACGTGGTTCTAATGACCCAGTTACCAATAGGCATCGTATGAGGTACACGCATCAAACAATCACATGAAATGGATATGTCATTTCTGTCCACATTACGAACCTGCTTCGTATAGATGTCAAGTAAGAAACGTCAACAATGCCCCCGAATGAATAAGCTAATAAAATAATTACATCGGAAAATACAATGTACGTCATGTCTGACGTCAAACACACGCAGAAAACACTGCCGGGGGTTGAGTACTCTCCTTACAGATTTTAATGTCTTCAAGTCAGGTCACAGTAGCGGGATGAATTGAGTATGTTTGCTCTTGGCATTAGAAAAGTGAATTTTCCGTACTTGGTCAGCAGCAACCAATGTAAAACGTGGTCACAGTATGTAGAACAATTACTGTCGATTGGCGCGAGGTTGACTTAAAAAAACTGTATATTTAAAATAATGACACTTTGGGGAAAATTCTATGAATTGAAATTACTAATAGCATAGGTGTTTTTGTTTATTCGTAATCGTGTTGTTCCCGATAGAATTCAGCGTTGGTGAGCGTTTGAGATCGCATTACCTTGTACAGTGATCGATTCGCAATTACAATTCACGGCGAATGACTGTTAAGAAACATGATTGCTAAGGCGTTGGAATAGCTCTTAAAATAAATTGGAATTTACGATCTGTGACAAAACGGGCTGTGATTTCTAGTTCAGCTAATTCATGAGGAATAATTTCAATACAGTTTTATAAATGTTAATATAGAAGGATTGCTGTCGCAAATTATTAGGTTTGAAATACAGGAGACTTTAATGTAAATCACGGATAGCATAATTGCTCCTTTCAATATGTTTCTAGATTGATAATTAGTTGTGTGATAGTCTTTGTCATCTCAATGCCAATCTTTTCTCCAATTATTTAGTGTTCTATTAGTTTGAAGCAGTCGTATAAATGTCACTCCTTTTCTTACTCACGATTTGAAGCAGCCGTCAGTGTGTCACTTCTAGTATAGCTCGCTTTATTGAATGCGCTTTCGCTAATGAGGACAAAGCTGACACGAAAAATAAATTAAAGGCGATGATATCGCGGATGCTGAACTTTCACATTTGATGGTTGGATGAATTGTATGCGGTCAGCAGTCTTCCAACGACATGCTGTAACTTCGTTTGTAAAACACAATGGAACTGACGTCCGGGAATCAGAATAGAGACGGGCATATAACACAAAATTTGATTATGACAATCTTTCTCGTTTGGCTTCTCACCTGATGTGTAAGGGGCAATCGAAGGAACACACTAATGACAACTGTAATGTTCTCATCGCATAGCAACACTTACTCATCTAACGACCAGATAAAGCGAGCGTTCGTGTTTTTGGTCGTGCGTGTATTCAATAGTCTATAAAAAGGCGGGCTAAGACGCAGCGTATTCTAGTTTCGTTCAAACCGCGTACACCCTGAGTTGTACGCAAATTGTATTTATGACACTGGAACACCAACCACCGTTTGAACTACTGCGTGCAACTCAACAAGTTAATACAATGAATTTTATCAAGGCATAAACGTTATTATAGGAATTATTTAATTGTTCATAAAACAGTTACCCTAGAAGACCCGTGCGCTTTGTTCTAGTGTTTCTTCAGTCATTGGCCGATTTATGGTCATGCATCCGTTTGTGATTGGTCAAATTGTTTCCAGCCGTCATTTGATATTTATGAATATTTTATAAAAACCAAACATGTGTGCCTTTATGAAATTCACTGTACACAGTATTCATCATTGCAAACAAAACAGTTATAAAGTTTTGATTTGCTTATATAATACAACGTGGATATAACAGTATAATTAATTCCCGTTTTCAAAATAAACGAGATTCCGTAAAAACCAATAACAACACAATTTATATCGTACTTATATTATTCTGTGTATTGTATATTTCAGCTGCTTCCGTGGCGTTGCTGGCCAGTATCTCGTGTGGTGTGATCGTGATATGTCTCCTGGCAATGTGCGCCATATGGCGATGGAAACTTATAACACGACTCAAGTCAATGCAGACGACGGGATTGAACGAAGAAACGCAAATATTGAAATGTACAAATCCACCCGTTAGAACAGATAACACCAAGTAAATATATAAAATACGCTGGAATATCACCACTAATGCACACTCCCCACGGCAATGATGATCACGTGGTGTCTCAATTCACTGATATCCAGCAAACTGTCTCATCAATTCAGGTTTACATATATTTGAATCATCTCGCAAATATGCAAATATTTGATTTAATTTATTGAAATACTAATTAGTTTGACTTAAATTACTAATTGATTATCTCTATCTTCTCAATGATATTGCAATAAACATATTTAATTTAGATTTACAAAAGAAATACGATAGAATTACAACGAAATAATCAGGCATGCATGGAAGTAAGTAGAAGTAAGTGAGATATTGTTGAATAGATAGAAAACGTAGGATACATAGTTTAATCAGAATGCATTAAACCACAAATGCTCAATGTATTACACCGACAAAATATACAAACCCAGCACCGAATAAAAGCTTGATTTGAGAAATTCCCCTATAATACGCTTTTAATATCACTACACATGATTGGAAAGTTTTAAATAGGTGCGACGTGGAATGAATTCTACGAATGGCAGCGAATGAGAGATATATGCAATTATGTAGAAAATCCTAGATCGTTGTCAATATTTCACGTTATACGATCATGAGAGGTTCTAACGAGCGTCCCATATCGTCATTGCAAGTTATTATATTCAACTCAGGTCTACGTTTGTAGTGATTATATCCTGTCCATGTAGTGATGTTAAGTCCCCATAACTCGCATCAAGTAATCATTACGAGTTCTATGTTCAATTCACATAATCCCTGACAGTTCGTATATCTAGGTCATGTGACGACTCACAATGCTTATTCTTGTATGCCGTGTAATCATTAGCGAGTGCCATTAATGCTTGTTCAAACGTGTTGACAATCGGAAGGCTAGATCACTTCGTAAATATTCCTGATCAGCGCGCTAAACTGGGCTAAACTTGCCCTGGTTATATAGGATCTTTGCTCGCGTGTCTTTTCAACAGTATATTATAAACTGACCTCTTGTTCGAAACCCTCGTTTTGATACACGTGTGAACACCCCGATATCTGCCACACAGAGTTAGATACAGCTGATATGGTCATCTCATGTAATCAAACAATTTGTGTTAAGACACCCAGTGTAATCATTACCGGTAGTTCAGTTTTTATATTTCTTATTATTTCTTATACGCCTCATACAATTATTAGTAATACACCCCATAAAATCAGTCAATTACAGTTACTTTCTTTCTTATATTCACTTCATTAAATGGTTGTCATTTTTATATTCACCTCAAAAATAAACTAACAGTTGTAGAAGTAATATTCACGCTAAATATTCGTATATACGTCTTTATACTCATCCACATATCGCACATCAAAGTTGATTGTTTGTGCAATGTTATTACGTACCTCATTGTGAACACGATAATCGTTTCAAAAACTAATATTTCTTGTTTTTTTCACATAGTAACGATGCCTCATTATTACAAACAACATATCGGGCTGAGGAGGTTCCACGATCATTGACGTCTGATTCTCTGCAGTCCACCGCCTCGGCAGCCGACGCAGAGGAAGGTACGAGTCAGCCCATACAACACAGTGAAGTGAGAAGACATTCGATGACAGCTTTTCGCTTTCATCATGATTTAATTGGGGAGCTAGATCCAAGTTTATACAAGTAAGTACGAACGTTTCTGGGAAATATAAACTTTCAGATCGGTTCTATAAAATGTGTTGAATTACATATGGAATCATGGAACCAGCGGCGCCTAAAGACAGGTTATCAACACAGTCCATTGACTGTTTCATGCGTCTTTACACACAGCATTTATTACGGAAATGTACACAGTTGTATCGGTTATCTAATAACACGTACTTAAACTTCTCGAAATGATTTATTTTTGTCAGGAGTAAGTACAGGAAACAGTATAAGACAGAGGGGTATTGTGAGGGCGTAGTTCGAGAGAACTTCCCGATTTCCCGTTAGTATTAACTACTCACTACACTAACCAAGGTCAACATAATTTCCCTGTTAACAAATTATTCTCTAATTTTCACTATCTGTTGACACTGAACACCCAGAAGCCAGGATCTTGCTTTACGACTTTATTGCGTGAAATATCTTCACCATCGTAACAATACAATGCTTTCTGATAAGCTACTGTAAGTTTGCAGCGGAGAATTATGGTCAGTAACATCATGGTTTGTTTCTCGTTAATGCAGGAATCACCAGGACAACGCGGTAGCTACTGGGCCCGGGGTTGTCAATCACTTGATCGATGCGTTATATATGGGCCTCCACATGGGTAAAACATAATATGGCTTCTTCCCACTTCACTTTTTATGGGTTTCTGCAGTTTCACTCTTCACATTTTATAAAAAAAAATTAATTCACTTCATTTTTTATAACATAAATATTCTTCACTTCACTTTATATAAGCATTCAATTATTG